AAAAGAGCACTAGCAAATCCTAGGGTCAAACCCTAGATTCGCTTGAATTGTTTGTTGGAGCACAAAATCAATAAACAACCATCTTCCCCAACTTGTGCATGATATTTGGAATTTTCCTAAAAATCCCAAATACATGTTATGGACTCTTGAACTTGGAGCCAAATTTCAAGTTATTTCATCCCTTGTTTGTTGAAACGTCAACTCAACAAATAATCATGCATATCCCTTTCATGCATGATATTTGGAAACCCCTCAAGGCTCTATATGATGCATTGCATGACTCTTAGCCTCCCCTACAAGTTCTCATCAATCTTCCTCATGTCTTGTATTATGGATTTCTCGAAAGTCCTAAGTACATCATGTTGCAAGTCCTTGAACTTAGAATCAAACTCTAAGTTTCTCTTAACACATTTGTTGGAACAAGAAACCGACAAACCAGCTGCCCTTCGTCACCACAAAAATCATAGTGGTTTTCAAATTCCGAATGTTTGAATTCTTTGATGATATTAAAATCAACACACAACCATCATCCAATCTCTCTTGCAAGATTTTAGGATTTCCCCAAAAATCCTGTGTCATGCCATAAAACCTAAGCTTATAACCAAATTTCAAGCTCTCCTATCTCATTTTTTAGAACAAGAAACCACCAAATATCCTCCTCATGCATATTATTTTGAAACATCCAAAAGCTTCAAATACACTATTTCATGAATTATTTGAACTTGGAACCAAATTCCAAGTCTCTTCTGCCTTTTTTTTTTTTTTTAAGTCTCTTCTGCCTTATTTGTTGGAGGAAGAAACCAACAAATAATCCTCTTCCGCATAGGACCCAAATCCTATCTCTTCCATTTACTTATAGCCTAAACTAAGTAAATGATCATCTCTCTTTGAACATCAAAAGTTCAAAGAAATCTTTCCTAGTTTGCAACTCCTAAGTTCCACTTCCTTTCTATCATCCCTCCAACCCCCTTAGAGGAATGGACCTCACCTCTTTGAACACTAAATGTTCAAAGAGTTTCCTCGGATTAGCAATATCTAAGTTGCATTCTATTCATCATCTCTACAAGCCAAAATTGTAAAAAATCCTCTAAGTCTTCTAACACAAATTAGACGACTGAACATTCTTTTCTTTAAACACCAAATATTCAAAGGAACTTCTCCAACTTGTAGTCTACAAGTTGCACTTTGCTTCTTTACTTATAAACTCAAAAGTTATAGGAAATGTCTTCATTCTCCCAACCTAAATTGAGTGAATGAAAATCTTTCTTTGGATATCTCAAGTTCAAAGAAATTATATGTGATATGTAATCCACACTTACATGTCAATCTTCTTCATTTACCTAATTAAACTTAGGTTGATGAATATAACCCATTGAAGAGAAAATTCAATGATTCATTCATAGTTTGCAACCTCCAACTTGCATACTACATCTCTCTTTCCTACAACTTTTGTAGGAAATCCTCTCATTTACTTACCCAAATTAGAAAAATGAATACCTTCTCTTGAATACCCAAAAATTTATAGGAAAACTCGTGATTTGTAGCCAAAACCTACACATCAACCTTCTATGTTTGCTTACATACACTTAGAAAACTAATTCCTCATCTGTGATAGCAAAACTCAATGAGTTGTCATGTCATTGCTTGGCCTAAACTTAGCAAATGTGTCCTTCTCTTTGAATAAATAGATTTAAGGAGACCTCTTGATGTGTAGCCTTAAAACTACAAATCTTCCCTAACTTCTATGGGCTCCAAAAAGCCATAGAAGATTTCTTACCTTAGCTCAAAAGCTATAGTTTTCCTCTCTATCTCCTATGACTTTCAAGTTGTAGGAGATCTATTTGTCTTTAGCTCCAAAAGCTAAGGAGAAATCTCAAATATTTAGCACAAAAGCTATATGTTGGATTCCTACATCCTCCCCTTTAACTCCAAAAGCTAAAGAGTATCTTCCAACACTTAGCCCAAAAGCTATATGATGAACATTTTTCCTTTCCTTTAGCCCCAAAGCTAAAGAGAACTCCATACCTTAGCCCAAAAGCTTTAGGTTTATTTTCTTCTCCTCCAACATCAAAGTTGTATGACATTTCCCTCCCCCGAGCTCCAAAAGCTAAGGAAAATGTCCCATTTCCTTAGTTTCAAAGCTATAGGTTCCATCACATTTCCTTCAACCTCTAAGTTATAGGAAATCCTCTTCTCTAAGCTCCGAAAGGTAAGGAGAGTCCTCCAACATCAAGCCCAAAAGCTATATGTTGGGCAACTCTCTCTTAAACTCAAACTCTAAGTGAAATACCTTTTCATAGTGTGGCACGTCACACAAGCCTCACACACTTAGATGCACAGCCCCCTAGGCATGATAGGATTATAATTTTTCTTTATCTGCGCATGTATTTGATGTTGTGATGTGATGAATATTGAATTGTCTACGTTATGGGCATTTTTGCCCTTAAGTGGATAATATAGAAATATATATGTTTTTTTCTTACAGGTAGCAATATCCAAAAGGGGCGTAATAAATAATAAATAAAAATACTTACATGACAGGTGGTGATTAAACCCCCCAATAGATGTGGTCAATAGAATAGAAGCAAGGGCTTGGCAAATTATGTATGTGATATTTTTGTTATATAAACTACTTTGTAAAACTTTATTTTGCAGCTTTGAGTCTTTTCATTTTTCAAATAAATTTGATTAAACTTAAGTTGTACTTGAACTTTTGAGGTTCAGTTGGATGAGAGGTGAACTAAGAGGATGTACCTGCTTAAAGGTGAAGCCCAAGATCTACTTGAAAGTTGAAGCTTTAAACACCCCACAAGTAAGAGTCTGCAAATAAATATTTGTCTGGGCTATATAATGGCAAGCAACTCTGCTACCAAACTTAATTATAATTATTGGGACATTATTTATATTTATGCCTTGGTTGATTCATATATGCAAGCATGTGTTGATTTGTTTATCTGATTGTGCATTAGAAAATACATATTTTTCTTAGGTTTCTTTTTTGCTTTTGCTTGAGGGAGGCCTGGACATGTTGATGCAGTAAGCTCTTAGGACAAAATTAATTTTTCTACCTATTAAAATATAAGCAATCTAAAATCAACTATAGGCTCCAAGATTTTCAAATATAAGAAAAATTGCAAGGCTCCCTTCAAGGAGCTAAGTTTTTCAAAATTCAAATTAATCATGCATATCCCAGTGAGTTTCATGTAGAAAAGCCTTCACTTAAGGATCAGATAATTAAAAAATCTGCATCTTTATGAGTTAAAATTCTGCATATCATTCATGATTAGGCATCTTGCCTCAAAACCAAATTGTAAGTCATACTTTCTAAATAAAATAATCTCTCTACCTTCATATACATTGAGATTGGATATCATAGTTTAAAAAAGCACTTAAGTGGGTTTAGCTAGTAGTCTTTACAAGTAGGGCAATAAATCCAAAGGTCAGGCTGACTATGCCTCATATGAAATGTAATTTGTAAGTCCCTTACACTCCGTTAGACTTAAGTCTGAGGTACTATTCCTCAGTAGTCCTCCATTTAGTTCTAGGGTCCGAGGCAATTGTGGATTTCAGTCACTTCATAAGCCCTCACATTCCGAGCATTTACCAAGATAAAAGCGTCATAGCTATCTAGAAAGCAAAGCTGTGAAAAAGATGCCCAAAATAAACCCTTGAAAATTCTCAATGCTACAATTTGGTAAACGAAAAGAATCAATAAGGAGCTACTTGGATGCAAGGTTTGTACAGGATTTAAGCACGGATTTAAGCAGGGCTTTAGCCTAAATCCTACCAGCAAAAATGATAACTTTGAAAACTACAAAACTTAAATCTCATTCCTCATTAGTTTTGCCTTAAATCCCAAATTTAGTAAATAGTTTGGCAAATTTATATGATCTAAACCGAAGAACTGTGCATAAAGGGAGAAAGGTCATTTCTTGGCGAACTACCATAGTGACTTGTGATCTAACATGAACAATGTCGTCGAAGGATGCGAAGAAACTTCTTTAGCAACTATTTCAAAATGCTACTTCAGCAAGACACACGTAGCTGAAGCAGCAACAAAGAGGAAATGGCAATGAGGAAAAGCAAACACTTGGATGCAAGGTTTGTGAAGGATTTAAGCGGTTTTTAGCCTAAATCCTCCCATCAAAAACAATAACTTTAAAACCTAAAAAATTTAAACCTCATTCCTTATTAGTTTTGCCTTAAATCCCTAATTTAGTAAATGGTTCGGCAAATTTATGGGATCTAGCCGAAGAAGTGCGCAAAAAGGGATTAAGGTCATTTCTTGACGAACTACCATGGTGACTTGTGATCTAACATGAACAATGTCATTGAAGGATGTGAAGAAACTTCTTTAGCAACTCTTTCAAAATGCTACTTCAACAAAACACGTGAAGCTAAAGCAGCAACAAAGACAATGAGGAAAAGCAAACCCTAGATAGGCCTAAAGGTTTAGGAAGAGCATAGCCAAACCAAAAAGGAGAATTTATAAAAATAGGTAAGTAATGACAAAGAAGAATACCTTCACACCTATCCTAACTTCGGTTTTGCTCCAATCAGCTTTGTTATTTTTGCTCATCTTTTTTTCTTTACAAACCATAGCAATAGTATATCACGTGGGAAAGAGAATCAGCCAATTGATTAATAAAGAAATTCAATTTCTCATGTAGTGATGGTTGATTTTTAGGTCTTCATTTAGAAATTACAGATTTTTTTTTCTGAATTAGTTTAATATTATATTAATTAATAATTAATTCTTATTATTATATTAACATATATATAGTATGAGTTTATCAATCTAATTAGGATTGATAAGAAAATTTTAAGCAAAAATTAATAAGATTCAATCACATAAATTAGAAACAAATAAATTAATCTTAATAATTAATATAAATCAATTTTAATAATTAAAATGAAATTTAGTATTATTAAAAAAATTTGAGTTAACTTACTTAAATACAAATTAACAAGACAGTTATGGATGTAATAATTCAACCAACCTGAATTTTTGCATCATGTGTCGCAACAAGCACTTCAAATTTTCCATCCCCATTCAGATCAGCAACAATTGGTGGTGGAAGGCGCTCAGCTTCATATTTGATTGGGTATTCATCGGTGAGATGTACCCAAGCCTCCTTAAAAGATAGATCACCTTCATGCTGGGAAGAGACAAATATATTAAAGCATTTGAATGTTTGCCATTCTTTAAAGTTCCCAAAATCAGCTGGAATTCCCAAATATCAAAGGAAATTTTATAAGAATTATTTATATATTAAATCCGATTAATCCCCTAAAACCACCAGATTTTTCACTTAATGCTACCAAACTTCTTTGCACTAGATCGAGTTCTGTGCTATGCTCAACCAAGATTGAAGGTTTAATCTCACTAAACCATAACTTAAATCAACAAACAACCTGGTGTTAAATAAATAGTTTGCGAAGGCTACAGCAAGATATCCATTAGTAATTAAACAATGATTATCAAGTTAAAGTTTAAATGTCTGATAAATAACTATCCATGAATTAGTTATAGAACAACCCAAGAAAGTGAGAAAACATATTAAACAAAAACAGTTGTGATTGGTTATGACCAATGACTAAATAATTCAAGCTCAGTAAATGTGGAAGAAGCAGTAAGATGCCACTACCGAAAATCACCATTGCTAAAAGGCCAGAGTAAAGGGTTTCTAGTGTTTCCTTTGTCAAATAAGAAGCAACAACAACAACAACATCAAGCCTTTATCCCACTACGTGGGGTCGGCTACATGAATCCTTTTTCTCCATTGAGTCCTATTAAAGGTCAAATTCTCGTTTAAATCTAATAATAAAGAAAGGACATTCCTAATATTTTCTAACCAGGTCTTTTAGGTCTGTCTCTACCTTTCTTAACATAAGTCAAATCTAATACCTCTACTCTCCTAACCGGGTCATTGGAAGGCCGCCGTTTTAAGTGACCAAACCATCTAAGTCAACTCTCTCTAATCTTATCTTCTACTGGAGCTACTCCAACCTTTTCACGTATATGCTCATTTCGTATCCTATCTCTAAGGGTAAAGCCACTCATCCACCTGAGCATCCTCATCTCTTCCACACTTAACTTAATATTATGCTTCTCTTTTAATGGCCAACATTCAGCACCATAAAGCATTGCAAGCCTCACTACCATCTTATAGAATTTTCCCTTAAGTTTGAGGGGTACTTTTCTATCACACAACAAGCCCGATGCATTCCTCCACTTCAACCATCCAACTTGAATTCTGCTGGTAATATCCCCATCTATTTCACCATCACTCAGAACAATAGATCCAAGATATCTAAAATGTGTACTCTTATTAATGACTTGATCGCCCAAAGTTACAATCCCCTCACTAGGTAGGTCTATTAGTACTAAAATTACACTCCATATATTCCGTTTTAGATCTACTTAAGCGAAAACCTTTAGTCTCTAATGTTGACCTCCATAATTCAAGTTTACTTTCAACTCCCACTCTAGTCTTATCAACAAGAAGAATATCATCAGCAAAAAGCATACACCAAGGTACATCCTCTTGCAAATGTCTAGTGAGAACATCCATGACTAAAGATGGATAAGAGGGAAAAAATTATGGTGATCTTCTAAATGTCTCAACCCATTAACTTTATAAGTGGAGGAAAATCTAGCTTCTCTCTTGGAAATAAAAGGCAATTACTTTTTCATCCTCTAAAATCCTAGTTCCAATCCTTTGCCACAAAGAGAATCGTAAATAGTCAGATTAGAGTTGGCCTTTCTTTCTCATAACCATCATTACCATCGCCATCTCATCGATAAGGTGACCATGATGATGTTGACTCTGTACGCTTGCCTCTAGCACCATAGATTTTTCATTGTCCATTGCAGCCTTATGTTTCTACTCTAGTCCTTGGCGTCGATATGAGCATATAATTTTGTTTGTATTGTTGTTGTAGTAGTAGTAGGGTTTATATTAACGATTGATTGATATTGATATATATTTTTATTGCAATCTGTAGCATCAGGCAATGAATATTTCCTTGGCTCAATTTCCATATCAAGGGTTTATATATATTACTCTGCTACTAGTCCATTGCAATCTATAATACTACTATTAATAATACCAATAATAACAATAATAACAACAAGTGCATTATCAAAGGAAAAACTCATAGATCGAGGGGATGAATTACCTATGGTGGCTGATGAATTGCCTAGGGCGGTGTTAACTTAAAATAACTTAATTCAAGGGATGAAATACCTTGCTGTAGTCTTGTTCCACATGTATATCTAAAATGAAAACTCAAGTTTCCTTAGTAACTAGCTTCATGCTTGATATATGAGGTGTGATTTGTCGATACCATTCTTATATGGCATTACATCCGATACAATTTATGTTATAAATTCTTTGAAAAATATTTTTTTGTGTTTTATGGAAACTTTGTTCATATCCAAATATTAGAATAATTAATAATATGTAACTGAATCCTTTTGATAGCCGCTAATTACTAGATTTTTTTGTGTTTATCTTCTTCCTCTACATTGTTTAGCAACCTTTCATATCTCTAATTACGTTTTTGATCAGTTTGTTGTGCTCGTATTTTTGCTGTAACATTACAACACAATGAACCATTATAATTGTAAGAGAGAGAACATTTGATGAGGATTCAGATGATGCGTCATCACTTATCGTTTTACTTTATTTTTTATTATCTGACCCTTTATCTTAAAGTCCAAAACTAATAATCGATGTTGGATACATAAATTTTCACTCGGGAATAACTTTACAATCTTTGCAGTCTAACCAATTTAATTTTCTTATAAGAAAATAGTCAATCTGGGTTGTACTATATCCATTTTTATAAGTGAAACAGGTAACAAGAAGCCATTTTTTTAAATTACTATAAATATAATTTTAATAAAATATTTTGGTATAATTAGAAGTGAAACAGGAAACTTAATCAACCCAACTTGTAAAATGAAAAAAAAAGTTCGAACTATAAACAAAAAAAAATATGTTCTTATTTTTCACCCAAAAAATAAGAATACAAGAAACACAGAATCCATTAAAGTGAAAATGCCAAAATAATATGCTTACTAGAATGGTAAACAGAAGCATAAAACTACTTAGCAAACCATGCACCACATGTTCAATCTTTATTGACAAATTGATAGACACTTTCATTAGCTGATAATTACTTCCCTTACTTCAAAATGTGAAAAGCCAACAGGCTGGCCAATCAATTTTAGTAAAAATATCAGATTTCAGTCTTCTTTCTTCAATAGTATATCAACATGACATGAGAGTGAAAGAGATTCAAGAGTTACTTTTCATTTGATAAGGGACAAAAAACATGATAGAAAAAGAAGAAAAGTTGCGAGAATGGTGATATGTTGCTATATTTGTTGCAAGAAGAAGAAAAGATCAAAAAAAAATTAAAAAAATATACTGAAAGAAGATGAAAACTGATGCAGGAAAATCCTTGATGATTTAACAAAATTATATTAATTCTGCATGAGATGTGTAAATAAAAAGAGTGTAGATTTATTTTCGCCCTCGACAACCTTATTCAGATTATTTAAGCTCAAAATTATGAATACCTCTACTACATTCAATTTTAACAGGAGTTACAAGTAGCGACTTTAGTTTACGCAATATATGTTCACAATTTCTAGTTTTTTTTTTTTTTTTTTTTTTTTTTTTTTTTTTTTTTTTTGAGAAGATGCATAAAGCAATTTTATTAAAAAAGCAAATTACAAGACTTAATTGATAGCTACTCTATCACCTTCCTCCTTTAATACAGAAATAAAATGAGGAGGGATATTATTACAAGACAAATCGTCTCAAAAAAAATCTATAGAACGAGCAATGTTAGCACAACAATCGGCTAACTTATTACAATCTCTATCAATACAATGAAATAAAATTTGATTGAAATCCTTTAGAAAAGAGAAATCAATACCTTTGTCGAGATCCAATTTGAACTCCCCTTTATTCACCATGTTTTGAATAAATTTGATAACATTGTAATTATCACCTTCTATGATAATACCTTTAGCTTCAAACATCCATCCTTGCAAGAAATTCTTCAATGAAGAAATAGAATATAATTCCAGATGTGAAATATCCCAATGCAAGCAAGATGATCCATAAGCGCATAAAAATCTTCCTTTATAGTCTCTAATGACACCATCAACACCACCTTTATAGGAATTTAATAGTGAAGCATCAACATTAAGCTTGATCCATTCGGGAGGAGGAGGATACCAAAAAGTAGACGGCTTGTACAGCCAGTTAGTATCCCAGTAGTCCGAATATACATTAAGCTTAAAGGATGAAGTAGCATAGCAAATTGAATTTGCTGCAATAGAATAAATTCCATTTTCTTTCTTCTCATGAACTAACAAATTCCTGCTTTTCCAAGTAAAGAACATGGTTGAGCAATACAAATTAGCCAAAAACGGATTTGAGCTGGATAAATTAGACAAGATTTTATAAGAATCCTCCAAGTTATAGTTAACTGGAACCTAAAAACCCCAAGAGATTAGCAGTTTTAAAACTTTAATCAGGAATGCACAACCTGTAGCAACATGAGCCGTATCTTCTGCACTTGAACATCCTCTCAGGCAACCATTCCAATCCAACATCCTTCTGTAAAACAGGAATTCATTAGTTGGAATTGCTTTCAAATTTAACCTCCACCAGAACGCTTCAACCCGTGGCCGAAGATGGATTTTTTAATCCACTTCCAGTTGGTGTCTTCCTCTACTATATCAGTACTTTTATTCATAATCAAGCCTGATAATGACTTGCTCGAAAGTTTAAACATCAATTCTAATTGACCTTCACTGTTATCTGGATCGATTGAAACCATGGTAATAAGTTCCACTAGATCCTGTCCGAAGAAAATTTTCAGCTTTGGGATATCCCATACTCCTTCAGCGATGAATTCATTGAGGCTACCAGAATTATGGTCTAAGCAAGCAATGAATGTAGGCCATTTTTCAAATTTCTTATCCAACAACCAAACATCTTCATTTGTATTTATGCTTAGACCATTAGCAATATTCCATCTCACCACATGCTTCAGATGACTAACTCCATTTAACAGAATTTTCCAAGTTGAAGAAGAAGAGCTATTATATCCATAATTCCAAATATCTCTACCATATTTGGCAATTAAGGATCTATTAAGTAGAGTTGAAGGATTATTGATGAAATTCCAAGCAAATTTAGCCCTCAAGGGGCCAACTCTTTGAGAAGAAGAAATAACTCCTTGTCCACCATATACTTTGGGTCTACAAATCACATTCCAAGCAACATAATGAAGCCCAAATTCACCTCCTTGCTTTTTCCATAAAAAATCTCTTCCCATTTTATCAATGTCATTTAAGACTCCCATAGGGACAAGAGAATGAGTAGATACAAAAGTGGTAAGAGAGAAAAAAACATATTTTAGAAGTAATAACTTCCCGACAATGAAATATATTTGTTTCCCCAATTATTTAGTTTACTTGAAGCCTTCTCCAATAAGCTTTGGAAGTCTGCGAATACCAACCTCCTCAATGCCATTTTAATACCAAGATAGCTCATCTCCTTGACCACTTTAAAATTCAAAAATCTGGAAATAGAATTTTTCCTCCTCCTTTTTACAGCTTTCCCAAACAAGATAGCAGATTTTTGGTGATTAATAGTTTGGCCGGACCACATCCCATAATTCTTCAGAATTTTATTTATTCTCTTTGCACTTTTAATATTTGCTTCTGAAAAAATAATGATATCATCTGCATACTGCAAATGAGTAATTCTTTCTGCATTAGCAGAGATCTTAATACCAATATTCTTCCCTCTTTGTGAAAATGCATCCAAGAGTAATTGAGAGCACAAGATAAATAGATAGGGAGACAAAGGACAACCTTGTCTAAACTCACTTTCTCCTTCTATCCAATTAGAATTGCATCCATTCACCATAATAGAAAAATTCAATTTTCGAATACATTGTAAAAGCATATTACTGAAACAGATTGGAAAACCGAATATAGAGAGAACTTGTTCCAAAGTTGACCAACTCATACTATCATAAGCTTGCTCCATATCTATTTTAACAGCCATCATACCCTTTCTAGCTTTGGAAAATTTAAATTTGTTGAAAGTCTCTTGTGCAAGTAAGATATGGTTGGATAAAGACCGACCTCTAACAAAGGCCGCTTGCCCTTCAGAAATAATTTTAGGGAAAAAACTTTTCATTCTATTTAACAACATTTTAACCACAATCTTATAGATTGAAAGACAAAGGTTAATAGGTCTATAATGAGCTGGGTAGATCGGATTGTTGTTCTTAGGAAGGAGAATAACTAAAGTATTTTTCCAATCATCACACATAATACCAGATTTGAAAAAAAAACTAATGGCCTCCCAAACATCAATCATAATAATATGCCAATAAGATTTAATAAAGGTATAGGAAATACCATCCACTCCGGGAGAGATATTAGCTTCCAGGTTTTTGATAACTAGATCTAGTTCTTCTTTGGAGAAATCGGCTGACAGCAAATTCTTCTCATCTTCTCCCAGCACATAAGAAGGTTTCGGCCAATTCTTTAAGTTACAATTTTTGTACTTCCATTTTTCCTTGAAAATTTGAAAGAAAGTGTGTTCAATCAACTTTTGGTCTTCTACTAGCATACCATCAATTTCTTTGATTTGGTGAATCCAGTTACCACTTCTTCTAACAGACGCATAGGCATGATAGAATTTAGTATTAGTATCTCCTTCCTTAGCCCATTTAACCTTTGCTCTTTGATTCCACCATGTATTCAGCCTTCCAAGAGTCGAATTAAACTCAAACACTTTAGCTCTAAGTAAAGCTAATTTGAATTCCGAAAGTCCACCGTCCACCGCCTCTTCAATCTATAAATCATAAATTTCTTTTTTCAGCTGCTCCTTCAAAGAGTTGAGTTCAATGTGCTTTGCTTTACTCCAGAAGAAGAGTTGAGTTCAATGTTCACAATTTCTAGTTAAGTAATTTGTGTGATACCTAATTTCCATACTAACACTTTCAAATTGATTCTATACATTCATCTTATTGGTGAACCTTTTTCCCTCCTTTATACACACCCAAACTAGTTAAAGGTCTGTTTGGAATAACTTTCTCGTTACTTTGCCTTTTAGATAGCAATCATAATTTTGTTTGACTTCTGCTTTCTTACTATTTTCTCACTACTTTTTTTAAATTTTTGTAGTGGAGTGCTACTTTTTACAAGAATAGTAGCAAAGTTGTTTTACCACAGCAACTTCACAACCAACTTTATAAAAAGCTGCAGCCGTCTCAAATAAATCATAAGTCTATTCTTAGCAACCCTATTCTCAATGAGTGTTATTCCCAAAGCCTCTCTAATGTAAGCATTTTGCATCCAATCCTTACCAATTTTCTTATTCAATTGCAATTGACGATTGTGTTCCCTAAACTCGGTCTCAAATAAACACAAAGTCAACTTTATAAAAAAAATTAAAAATTAGCTTTGAGTCATAATATATTCTTCTATTATGTAATAGCCTCAAACACCTCGGTTTTAATAAGTCATTCCTTACATCTATTTCCCCTTTTTTGGTACAAGTCAAGAACCATATCTAAACCCCTCTCATATAGGTATCCACAGCAACTTCACAACCAACTTAATGATCGGTCATTATTGATTCAATGTCTAACAAGATATGGAAAATATACTTCAAATTTCTTCTATTAATTGTAAGCCTCTTATCTTTCAATTTTTCTCCATTGTTCAAAATTTCATTTACATTGACAAGAGACTCATCTATCAAGACGAAGTCATCAACAAGTAGCATACAAAAAGGTATCTCACTAAAAATATATGTTACCACCGTGACCTATACAAGATATGGACATATGTTGATCCTTGATGTAACTTTATTTTGATAGATAAATCTTCATCACTCCACAAATGCTTCTAAAGTTCTAATATTATCCCACAAAAAAAAAAGATTAAAACAAGTCGTTACATCATCATATATATTTCTACAAACTACAAAATGCATTCCATACACATTGTACCTCCTTACTACCCACCAAATCAGCTCCCATCTTATGAAGTCATATGCCCCTTCAAGATTAACAAAAGTCACATGAAGACTTGCCTTCTTTGTCTACACATTACTATTAACTATCATAGCATAAAAATTGATTCCATAGCTGCCCTTTACTCTCATTAAACTATTTGATTCTATAAGCTTGGTATGATTTTTCTCTTATTTGTCCAATCACTCTTCCAAAAGTTATTGTATCATCCACAGGCCACAAGCTTGATTCAATTAAATTTCATGGGTATCATTTTCATTATAAAATTGATAATTAAATGCTTATTCTCCAACCATTCGGCATCCTCTTAGGCATGAAGATTTCATTAAAATAGTTAATTAACATTATTCAAATATCTCCCATAACTTTCTAAACCAAGCTTTTAAATGAGTAAACCCTGTGACAAACTATACGAATTTAAGAAAACTCGAGCAACAGGCATACATTGCTCAAATAAGGTGTAAAGTAAATCTAAAGCAAATTCTTTTTAAAATGAATAGTCCATAAAAACTTAAGGTGCTCAGGAGGTGTCAATTAGCATGAGTACATGAAAGTTTATGCCAGATTCCAAAATAAATACACAATCCTTTATCAATGAGAAGAATGGCACGCTAAGAGAGAAATGTATACACAACTAATGGCCAACTGTTGTTTCCTATTGATCCATGGAAAATACAAACAAATCATGCATGAAAAATAAAGAAATCACCAGTTAGAGAAATATGCCTGAATACAGAATCCAAAAATAGTTAGGAAACTAATACCATGAATCTCTAATAGCAGAGAGGAATAGTCTGATAGGTGCATACAGACAATTCACTCAATAATAACCATAGTTGATTCAACGGTCAAACCAAAGAAGCACGGGACAATGATTATTTCATTCAATCCATCCAAAAGCTTTTTTTTCATTATCCAACTACCGATCTCATCAAGCTGGATTAAATCATTCACTCCTATCGATCCCAGTTAGAATTCATACACTATTATACAAATTTGAGTCTTATGTAATTACATGCTCCCCATATACGAGAAGCGTACTCCTCTACAAATAATTAAATCAGACCAAAAAAATGATAGGGGAACAAGAATGAGAATACGTGTTGAGGAGGTCAAATCCACAAAAGTGAAAATCCCTGGGGTTTTGGCTTGAAACAGAAAACCCTAACCATACCTGAGAAGAATTTCATATAGAGAAAGGTCTCAAAAGAGCGGCAGGATGAAAGATATATAAAAGATAATATCATAATAGTCATCAATACCTGGAGGGAGAAGAAGATTGCAAAGGCGGAGAGCATAAGAATCCCCAAGTCACGCTTCCTCATCTCTTCTCCCCCAACTTCCTCTCAGCAACGAGCGAGCTCTGGTAATCTAACAACACTGCCGCTTCTTTATTTGTCGCCGGGATTAGGGCATCGACCGCAGACCGGGATTGACAGAGGTCAACTGCGATCTTTGGGGGATCGATCAGCCTATGATACCCAAAATTATTAAGTCCAGTGTCTGGATTCTTTCTAGACTAATCCAGATGCTTGACTTCACTCAAATATATGGAGAAATTATTCTGTGTGGAATCTGATCACAATGATGTGTTCGGTCTGTAACAATAGCCAATAAAAACATAACGTGTGGCCAGCTTACGTGGAAAGTTAAGGCCCGACTCGTTTGTATTTTCGAGAGTAAATAATACGAGGCCCGCCCAGTATATACAATGAAAAAGGCGAAAAATTTTAACATTTTCCAAATTCCACATTTCGGCCATTCGCTCCATTTCTCCCGAGCTTCCAGCAAAAAACTCTCGATGAATTCCTCCAGCAATCTCTTCTTCTCATCATGGACGTGGAAAAGGATTCACCTGCAAAGAGAAAGGTGCGAAAATTCTTACATTGACATAAAATGAACTACATATATCTTTGGTATTCAACGCGTATTTGCTGAAGAAACCAAAAAATAAATTTAAATCATTCCGAATAACAATAAAAGTTTAAATTTATCTCACCATTTTCGTTCTTTCTGCGTATTTTCTTTGTACACAATGTGTATAATCTGCATAAATTTCACTTATTTTCTGCGTATATGTTGAAGACAAAACCTAACATTTTATAATAAGTACTTTGAATCTTTAAATCATAAAACTAAACTTCCAATAAACAAAAACGATTAGTGTACCCTAAACCATAGATTTCTGGTGATATTTTTCTCATCCTTTGCGTACAACGCGTATGGTATGCGTACCCGTTGCGTATGGTATGCGTA